GATAGCAGGGTTCTTCAGGAGATGTGGAGAGTAGACAGAACTTCGGATTCTATAGCTGGCACTAGGGCTAGCTGCAAGTTTATCCCTACACCTTGCGCACTAAACTCCATGCCTGCACCCTAAGCCCGGATTTGGCAAGGCTCTTTGTAGAGATTGCGGGCTTTTGGGCTGTAGTGCTTGAGGTGTAAAAGGTTGATCCGGACTTAGTAACCATGGTTTTAAGTGAGCTGGGGTTACAAGTAATTGCACATGGAGTTCCCCTGATAATGACCTTTGATCCTTTATGTATAGGGGCCTGGGTCAGCAGAATAGGGTTTAGGCAACTCAGGGATACTACTGGTATGGTGCACTGTTTTAGGTTTACAGTCTCGGGACAGCGGCTTCACCACTTAGGGATGGTAAGGCTGATCTCTCGAAACTCCGATGTCTGCTCGGCCACACAATAGGTGTTCCTTGCAAGTGTACCTGAGATGGCTGCTGCATGCAGGTGTCTGCGACGGAACTGAGGCGTTCAGGCATTGGATTTAAGGTTGCGGGTTTGCGGGTTTGGGATGAGGGAGTTTCGGGTTGGTAGGACAGGGTTTAGGGTTTAGGGTTTTTAGTGTTTAGGGTTTTAAGGTTTAGGGTATGGGGTTTACGGCCTCTGCCCATATCGGACGGAGTGATTGTTCGTGCCCCTCCCTGAACCCTTAAGCCAAACCTACACCGTCAACGGCACGCGAGCCATGGTCACCAGCCTCGGGTTGGACAAACATCAGGCAGACAAGTATCATTCGTAAACTGATGGGTGGTTGTCGAAATTATGGGTCCCTTTTTGGGGTCCCGATTATAATACGGCACCTATGATGTAGGGTACCCAAAGTGGGACCATAATTCTGACAACCACCCTGGTGAGCTGCAACTCAATTTCAGGACATCCGTCTACTCACTCGGACCCAGACCTCCGGGAGGATCCAAAAAGCAGATCCCTTAATGGGGGTTCCTAGAACAGCAAACTCCAAAAAGTTGGAAACCTAGTTAAGGACAAATAGTGCTGGGATGCCATATACTTTACTCTTAGGGATTGAGGCTATCGGGTTTCCAACTTTTTGGCTTCTACTGAAAGTACCCTTAGTACTATAGGCCCCCAAATTAGGGGATCTACTTTTTAGACTTTTGCGGGGGTCTGGTGAAACCTAAGTTGGGCCGAGGCTTTGGGGCTTTAGGCTTCAGGGTCTTATGTTGCATCCCAAAGCAAGGTTTAGGGGTTTAGGGTTTAGGGTTTAGGGTTTAGGGTTTAGGGTTTAGGGTTTAGGGTTTAGGGTTTAGGGTTTAGGGTTTAGGGTTGAGGGCACACGGTTTCGGGCTTGAGGTTTACAGGCAGTTCAGGTGGTTTAGGCGTTTCAGGGTGTAGGCGTGTGTCTAGGGTACGGTATAAGTGTGTTCGGAAACACTAAACCCTAAAGCCCCAAAGCCCTAAACCCTGTACTCTAAGCCATAAAACATATGCCCTAAACCCTGTACTCTAAACCCTAAACCCTAAATCATAAAACCCTAAACCCTAAATCCGAAACCCCCTAAACCCTAAAGTAAACCCTGAACCCGAAAACCTGATCCCCGAGACTCCCCCAGACCCCTCAAACCCTAAAGGGAACTCCAGAAAGTTGGAATTTGGTTTCATGGTAGGATACCTTATAAATTACCATAAAGGGGTTAGGATAATCATATTCCAACTTTCTGGCTTTTGCCTTAAACCCTGGGTTTTTCTTCTGTGAGACTCGGAGCAGCTCTGAGTGTGAAACATGGTCGATCGAGGCATCGGGGCTTTTGGTTTAGGCTGCGCGGTGTAAGGTTTAGGATTTTATGGCTCAAGTTTAACCCCAAATCCTACACCCTGCGTCGGGCCTAACCCTACATCCTAAACTTTTAAGCCCTACTTCGGATCTTAACCCTCCCTCAACCCTACTTCGGGTTGACTGAACCTAAACCTTATATCCTTCCTTAACCCCACTTCGGGTCCAAACCCTCCTTAAACCCTACTTCGGGTCTGAAACCCTACAGCCTGAATCCTAAACGGTCCTAAACCCTAAACCCCTCAACCCTAAATCCTAAACCCTTCAACCCCCAAAACCCTAAACCCTAAACCCTAAACCCTTCAACCCCCAACCGTAAACCCTAAACCCCAAACCCTACACCCTAAACCCTAAACCCCAAACCCAAAACCCAAAACCCTAAACCCTAAATCCTTCAACCCCCAACCCTAAACCCTAAACCCCAAACCCTACACCCTAAACCCCAAACCCAAAGCCCAAAGCCCAAAACCCTAAATCCTACGTTCAGGCTCATAGTCTTGGCTCCATGCTCTGAGCTTTCTATGTTGCCCAGATACGACCACTATCGTCAGACCCTCAACCCATAGCCCCAAGGGTCCAACGGCTGATGACATAAATCCCTAGGGTTCCTTTAAAGGGATCTATAGGGGTACCTTTAAGGCGTTCTTTTAAGGGATCTAGAGGGGTTAGGGTTTAGGGTTTTGGGATATAAATCCTGCATGACCCTTAGGACCCTAAACTTTGGGAACTATAGTATATTCCTTATAATGGTTAATGCAGGATTTTGTCCATCAGCAGTATGGAATCCGGCTCCCAAGTTTAGGGTTTAGGGTTTAGGGTCACCATCCCTATAATGGCTCTAGGGCCCCAATTCCATACGAGTGGTATATATGGGTAGTTGACAAAACTCTGGCTCCTTTTTGGGTGCCCTAAGTTGAGTATTAGGTGCCGTGTTGTATTATGGACCTAAACCCTAAGCCCTAAACCCTAAACCCCACGAAAAGGCCATAATTTTGACAACCACCTTTTTGGAGCCTCTGGGTTGTCGATCTTTTTGCATGTGGGGCATTCCGGGGATGCCCAAAACCCAGAGACTTACACCCTAAACCCCTTTTACGGTTTAGGGTTTAAGGTAGGCGCTGGTCTCTGCCATTTTGGAAGTACATTAAGGCTTCGAAGGGTTTCATACTATATGGATACAGGGACTTTCCAGGCCTGTTACTCGCAGCCATAAAGACCCCCACATACTTGGAGGGGCAGGGGACTTAGTAAGTAGGCCTATAAGTAGAGATATAAGTACCATAAGTGGAGTTACCCCAATTGTTACCCTACTTATAACCCTACTTACTACGTCCCCTGCCCCTCCAAGTAGTGGGATTGAAAGCTTCAGACTCAATTCTTGGTTCTGGGCTGGCTTTCCGTTCAGGGCTGTCGGCTGGCAGGCATTTTGAGGGTTTGAAGGTTCATGACACAATGAACAAATCTCAAAGTATTAATACTCGTGAGGTGGTATCACAACGACAAGAGCTGAAGAGCTTTAAGAATCTACTGGATGTAAACCATACTGTTGATGATAATAAATCTGCATTACCTTAAGGACCCGAAACTATGGGAATCATGGTATATTCCTTATTATGGGGAATGCAGGACTTATTTCATCAACAGTAGTTTGGGAAGTGCGAATAGCCCGAGGTGATGATGAGGTTTCAGGTAACCAGCCCATGCATGAACGACCAAAAGTGCTCTAAAGCAAGCACTTCCAACTGAGCCGGTGAGACCGGACATTGGTGAAAGATCTTCCCAGAGACTCCAAGACCCCGTACAGTTAAACCACATAAAGTTGGAAACCGGAGTGAGGCCAAATAGTGCTGGGACTCCCTATACATGACTCTAAGGATTGAGGCTATGGGGTTTCCAACTTTTTGGCTTCTACTGTAAGTGAGGATTAAGGGATAAGATATTCCTTCATGCTTATGTCATAAGATATTTTCAGTGAGAAGTCATTCCGTAATGATTAAAGCCCCAAGAAAACCGTAAGAAATCCTCCTTCTTTGAGGGATTTTTGGAGTCTCTGACCTTCTCGAAGCATCAGCATTTAGCCTGACGATTACTATACTAATACCTTTTAGCTGCCACTCCTAGACTAAACCCTAAACCCTAAACTCTAAACTTAAAGCCCGAAAGCTCTAACCTTTGAAGCGGCCCCTAAGCCCGAAGAAACACCCTTAAAGCCGTGCGAGAAGGAGCCGCGGGGCGTACCCGGAGTCGCCATTTAGCACCCGAGAGATCGCGGCGGGTCGCTTTTTCCGAGGTTTAGAGACCTTCGAGGCCCTCAGGCCCGGAAGCGGTTTAGAGTTTAGAGCTTAGAGTTTAGGGTTTAGGGTTTAGAGTTTAGGGTTTAGGGTTTAGGGTTTAGAGTTTAGGGTTTAGGGTTTAGGGTTTGGGGTTTAGGGTTTAGGGTTTCCTTTAAGAAGGCTTCCCGTTCGAATTGGTCCGGTAAAGGTTCCTGTAAGGGCTCCTTTAAGGGTTGCTTTAAGGCTTCCTTCAAGAAGGCTTCCTTGTGGAAGGGCTCCGAAAAAGGTTCCGTTAAGGGCTCCTTTAAGGGTTACTTGAAGGCTTCCTTTAAGGGTTGGAGGCTTGTTTGGTTTTGAGGTTCGGGGATTTGGTGCTTAGGGGTTCAGGGTTTAGGGAATTAGGATTTAGGGATTCCAGGTTAAGTGTTTTGGGGTTTAGAGTTTAGGGCTAGGGATCGGGCAGGGTTTGGTGGCTAGGAACCCGTCTTAATGTCGCATATGTTACCATACTAACGGAGCTCTGGCTAGCCAGGCCCTTACGTTGAGCCGAACCTTTGTAACAGCCGTATACAACGCTTATGAACACCCCCAAAACCCCATCAGACTTGCTAAGGGCGCTCTTGTCGAGGAGGGTGGAAATGTCCAAGCCTCGGACTCTGCATTTCGGGATAAAACAACACCAGTCGTGGATGAGAAACCCAGAGATCTCTCCGCTCCGAGTAGGGGTTGGGGGGTTGACTAGCCCTAAACCCCTAAACTTAAACCCTAAACCCCAAACCTTAAACCCTAAACCATACCCTCTAGACCTTAAATCAGACACCTACATTATATTCTCTGGTTGAATTCAGCGACGCTGGGCTCTCTGGGAATCTCAGGCGTCACGCGACGCTTCCTCTCAGCTTCGCGTCTCGATGTCCTTCGCCATTGCCTGGGAATCACCCTAAGGCTGCTAAGAGGGTCTTGGGCTTTCTGGGGGAGGGTTTCGGCTTTGGGGGCTAGGGTTTGGGATCTCACTGCGAGGGTCCAGGAGCGCTAGGGCGGGTTTCTTTTACGGGTCCAAGTGCCCAATAGTCATATACTCCCCCAAATATGAGCTTGACTACGATCCTAAACCCAAGTACCTCATTACTTACTAGGTCCTTTGGACCCTCATGGTTCGGGTGGATTTAGCGTGTCGGGTTTAGTGTGTATAAGTTGGCACAGCCTTCCTTGAAGGCGCCGCCGGGGCTCATTTTGGGGACCTTATATTTTCAACAGAGCTGATGGTGACATCAGACATCCCAGAGACTCGAAAACCTTGGTTCAGTAACGATTATGCCGTAACTTGCACTAGGGCCACTACTGTAACTTTAGGCATATTCCTTCATGAGGGGGATTTGCAGGTCTCTGGCAGCTGATGTGGCGTGCGTCTCGGCCTCTGCAATTTAACAGTCGACTGCCTGACTCGCTACAGTAGACCTCCACCCCAATCCCCCAAAAGCCCAAACCTTTAGGGACTGCGGCTTAGACAGCTGACAGTTGACGGAGGCCCAACCGCAATGGAAGGGCCTAAAAATAAGAATAGGGTTTAAGGGATCAGGGATCCTTCAGGGGTTCCAGAATGTACTGGCCTTGGTGGTTAGAAAGTGCTTGGGGAACATTGCATGATTACATTGAAACGCCTTTGCGGTCTTTTCGGTAAGACTGTTACTGATTATTCAATCTTCTGTATTTCCGTCTCGTGCTCAACCCTAAACCCTGAATCCCAACCGTAAAAAAAATAGAAACTACATTCTCAAAGGGTCATGGGACTTAGCAAGTATGGTTATAAGTACCTACTTGGGGATATAAGTAAGTATATGTAGAGTTCCCCCAATAATAACCCTAGTTACTAAGTCCCACAACCCCCTTATAAAGCCCCTTATAGATCCTTTTAAAGGAGCCCTTTTAAGGAACCCTAAAGCTACTAAGCCCCATGATCCTAAAATCCTAAACCCTAAACCCAAACCCAAGGAACCCTTATAGATCCCTTTAAGGGACCTTATAGACCCCCTTAAAGGAACCCTTCTTTAGTTCCCTTTAAAGGAACCCTTTTAGTCTAAGTTCAGCCCCAAGCCATGAAAATAGTTCTCGAAATCAGGGCCCGTTTTAATAGTACGGCACCCTTTTAAAAAAGGGGTACCTTATATAGGACACTTTAGAGAAACTTATAAAAAGGGGACCTTATATAGGACACTTTAAAGAAACTTATAAAAAGGGATCCTTAAATAGGAGACTTTAGAGAAACCGTAAACCTGAAGCTCTAAACCATCAACCCTAAACCCTAAACCCAGACCCTTTGTAGAATCCTTATAGACCCCTTGAAGGAACCCTTAAAGGATCCCTTTAAGGCATGAACCAGCCATCCAAGCTGAGATTGACGCCGATGAGGTCGTTGTCCAATCGGCCCGGCCCATGGACATTTGCACCTGGCTTCGTGCCCGGAGACTCCAAAATCCCCTTGTTTAGGGTTTAGGGTTATACCTACGTGCTTCGGGGCGTAGTACTTGGACGATCATGGGAAGTTATACGTATGGTTATAAGGAGTGTAACTATACTTCTAACCCATATTGGGGGACTTATAGCCCCACTTATAGCTACCCATGAACCTCCAAGTCGTGCCCAGAGACTCCAAAATCCCTTGATCAAGGAATCGACCTAGGGTTCCTGTAAAGAGGTCTTTCAAGATACTTTAGACATGTGAGTTTCCGAAAATGGGGAACCCTAGTATAGTACCTTAAATAGTAGGCTCTTTATTATAAGGACCCCAATATAAGGCTATCCCTCATTTTGGGAAACTCCCAAATCATATGAGGGCTCCTGAGTCTTGTTCAGATGGCGATGCTTACTGTGCGTCTGCCTAAGGTCGTTTAGGGTTTAGGGTTTAAGGTTTAGGGTTTAGGGTTTAGGGAATTTGTTACTGCTGTAGAAAGGTCATGACGGAACCTGTTCTTGGAGGATCATGGGACTTAGTAACTAGGGATCTTTAAAGGGATCCTTAAAGGGATCCTTAAAGGGATCTATAAGGGCTCTATAGTGGGAGGATCATGGGACTTAGTAACTATGGTCATAGGCCCCTTAATTGGGGTTATCAGTAGTTGTAAGTATAGTTACCCCCAATCATAAGCCTTGTTACTAAGTCCCATGATCCTTTAAGTTACTTCTGTAGAAGCCTGAAGAAGTACTACGGTTGATGATATATATATATATATATCCCTTTTATCCATAATAAGGAGTATACCATAATTCCCATAGTTTAGGGTGCTTAAGGTAGTGCAGATTTATATCATCAACCGTATTTCCTTGAGGTAACTGCAGGAAATCAGCCCCGGATGCGGATTCTAACTATCAAGGCCCTTATACCATGCCGTGCTCTTCTGGGTGGGGCCATAATTCCAGGGAGGAGCGCCAAGACTGTAGGATTCAGGGCATTGGTCATACAGGTGGTTGTCAATATTAGGGTCGCTTTTTCGGATCCATATTAAAAATAGGGCACCTAATATTTAGGGTACCCAAAAAGGGACCAGAATTTTGACAACCACCGATATCGTGTCGGGTTCAGTAAACACGAAACCCTAAAACCTCAACCAAGCCCCCGAGTCGCCACAGAGCCCATGCAGAGTATAAATGCCGAAATCTCCAAACAACCCTAAAACCACCAACAAACTAAGTAACTCCGCCCGACATGCGAGATCCACTAAGTAGCCCTAAACCCGTGACTCCAAAGCCATCGGTGCCGTAGGAGTTCAAGGTTTGAGATGCTTTAGGACTCCCTTGAATTCCTGCACTCTCAATCCTAAACCCTCACCCTAAAACCCTCAATCCTAAACCCTCACCCTAAAACCCTCAACCCTAAACCCTCACCCTAAAACCCTCAACCCTAAACCCTCAACCCGAAATCTGATGACCAGGATGCCGCCACCTGGGATTGCGACGCACGCGCGACATTCTTGAGTCGCTGAAGTGGCTCCTGAGGAGGGTTTTTTTTTTGAACTCCTTTTTACATCTGCCCGAACATCCTCAGGAGGGGTTTAGAGTTTGGAGTTTGGGGCTTAGGATTTGGGATTTGCAAAGGGAGCAAGGGGTCTTATTGACTCATGACTGCGACCTCTATATCAGGTTGTGGGCCCTTGGCCCTACACCCCCACACCCTGAACCCCAAAACCCTACACCCTAAACCCGACACTCTAAATACTGTTTGGGTTGTCGGTTCCGGCTTCGGGGTCAGAGATCCTAAGCATTCAATGTCTATGGGGCTTAGGATGCATCTTTGCCGTAGTAGCACTCGCCGGCGTCGTCGTCGTCGTCACAGCAGAGACGTAAAAGTAGTAGTAGTAGTAGTAGTAGTAGTAGTAGTAGTAGTAGTAGTAGTAGTAGTAGTAGTAGTAGCAGTAGTAGTAGTAGCAGTAGTAGCAGTAGTAGTAGTAGCAGTAGTAGTAGTAGCAGTAGTAGTAGTAGTGGTGCAATGCTTATTTTTCGAAATGCACGGGGGGATCCTAAATTCCATCCGGATCCCCAAGCCAAAGCGGAGGAAGCCTAGGGTTTCGGGCTTAGGGCTTTGAGTTCTTGCAGTTTAGCATATAGGGTTTAGGGTTTCAGATCTTCGATTTATGCTAATATAGGGGGCCGTAAATAATAAGCAATCAGAGTGGGATTTTGGGGCCCAGTAGACTAGTCATAAATAAGAACCCTCGAAATACGGTTGATGATATAAATCCTGCATTACCATCAACAGTCGTATAAGTAATTATGAAGGCCCCTATATTAGTGCAGCAACCTGGTTCTAAGACGTGAGGGTTTAAGCCGAGCGAGTAACCCATTAAAGGATGAACCCTAAATGAACCCGTAAATAGTAAAAGCCAGAAAGTTGGAACATGGCTTTAGGAGGATTAGTGCTAGGATCCCTTATGCTTTACCCTAAGGGCATGAGGATAATGATGTTCCAACTTTCTGGCTTCTACTATAGTAACCCTGATAGTCAACTGATAGCAAGCCTTCCTGAACCTTCCAGTAACTCTCATAGAACCCTTTAAAGGACACTTTGAAGGAAGACCGTTCCAGCAGGCCGCCTTGTCACTGAGCTGCACCGCAGTACCACCAGGCCTTTCACGGGCAATCTGAAGGCGACGGACCAAGGGTTAGAAAAAGTGTAGTTAACCTGCCAGCACTGACCAAACCGGGACTCTAATGTTTTCATCGCTTGGGGCTTGCGAGTCACTGTTCTGCCTGTGTAGCCTGTCGCAGAGTCGTGCCTGCGAAGAATGCCACCGTGCTCGCAGGAAAGCAACGGCGGCCAAAACGATGGTAAGCAATGGTGGTTCAACATTTGTTGGTTTCAATTGGTCCCACATCCGGGGAACGGCCAGCAGGAACGTTCCATGCGGACTCGCCTTATCCGCGGATTCACCGTGCTGTGCGCATCTGAAGCCTGGTAGACGGCGCTGCACTCGGCAGCAAGTGTGTGAACACTGAGAGAAACAGGGGTGCAACGTAAACTCTGAATAACTGTGACTACAGTATGTTCTAAAGACCCTCAAGCCTCATCGAGAACCCTATTCAAGCATCGAACAAGCCCCACATGCAAAGAGAGTAGATCCATGAGGAAAAGGTTGCGGGTGTCGACTGAATAGTTTTGGCGTTGAGGTGAGGAATTGGGGCTCCAGCATTCGAGGTTTACGGTTTCAACTTGCGGTTTAGGGTTTCGGGTTTAAGGATTTAGGGGTTAAGGGTTTTGGGGTTCCAAATCCTTAAACCCTTTAAGGGTTTAGGTTTAGGAGTCTCAAGTGCTTCAGGTTGGGCTGAGGCCTTGGGCGTCGAGGGATTGAGGCTTGGGGCTTCACGGCTGCGGGGCCCTGAGCCCTACTTGGAGGATCATGGGACTTACTGTTGATGATATAAATCCTGCATTACCTTAAGGACCCGAAGCTATGGGAATTATGGTATATTCCTTATTATGGGTAATGCAGGATTTATATCATCAACCGTAGTAAGTATGGTTATAAGTACCTTAATTAGGGTTACAAGTAGTTATAAGTATAGTTGCCTTAGTAATAACCCTAGTTACTAAGTCCCGTGATCCTTTAAGTAAACCCTTCTTGAGACCTCATGGCCTTGAGTGTTTATGGCTGAGGGTTTTGGGTTCAGGGCTTTAGACCCCAGGGGCCTAGGGTTTACCTGTAGCCCTAAACCCTACGAAGTAGTAGGTCATGACCCTCACTGGAGGGTATAACCCTTAAAACGCACGGTTTTGGGATCCCCGTTGGGGGTTTCGGTTTAGGGATAGTCTAGGGAAACCACCCTTAACCCTAAGGAGTTTCGTGTTCAGGGCCTTTTGGGGGGCCAGAAACGTGAAGTTGACACAGCCTCGGCTGAAAAGCTCTTGGGTGAGGGACTACGGCCGTTGACGGATCCACTCGCAAAGCCCCCGGCCTGGAGGTTCATGGGTTTAGGGTTTAGGGTTTAGGGTGCTCATGTGGGTGGTTGTCAAACTTAGGGTCCCTTTTTGGGTCCCTATTATAATGCGGCACCTAATATTTAGGGTACCCAAAGAAGGGACCCTAATTTTGACAACCACCCATGGGCGCTTGCAGGGTTTTCTCGTGGCTTTTTGAGAGTATTCGACGGGTTTCATAGGTGTCTTAGTCTGACGGCGTGGGCCAAGGAAACTATCACACCATCAAACCGAGCGCAAGGAGTCTCGCGTGCCTTGCGATGGCTTCAATCTCGGCCGGATCCTCAAGTGGGCCAAAGGTCAAGAAACTTGTGCAGCGGTTCGTTTAGCTTTTAAGCTACTTTAGGGTATGGGGGATATGGGTTTAGAGTTTCTTCCCGGTCTAAGATTCGGCGTTGCCGGGCTAGGATTTACCCCCTCCGAGCAAGGACAGAAAGGGGATACCCGCAAACCACAACAAGCAATACGGATCCCGAACCCTAAACCCGCCTAAACCCCTAAAACCAAATCTGGCTCAGGATTCGTGCTTTCACATTTGGGTGCTGCCTCGCGGGTTTTGCCTGGGAAGGGTGGCACAGTGTTCTCACACTGAATGTGTCGCTTCTTTCTCCCCGGTGCGGCGTGTCCCCGTTGCATTTCGTGAAATGCCAGCCCTGGTTGCATCCCAGCTTTGGCAATGTATGGTCTACTTGCAGGGGCAGGGGACTTAGTAAGTAGGTTATAAGTAGAGTTCGAAGTACCCTGAATAGAGTTACCCGGATTATAACTCGACTTATAACCTACTTACTAAGTCCCCCGCCCCTCCAAGTAGCAGTCTAGCTTGGCCGATTTATGAAACCCCGCAATAAAGGATCATCCCAGCCTTCATCGCTTGTGTCTGAGCCAACGCACCACCATGCCTTCAGAAGGCCAGCCCTTCACTTCGCTTCATCGCACTCATCGATCTGATGCCACTTCTCGCCTCCTCGTCATCATCGGAACCCTGAACCCTAAACCCGGAAGCGTAGGATTGAATGATGCACTGGTGCATGCACTATTCATGGCAAACTGTAGGTGAGAGGCACCAGTCCTGCTGCTCCAGGATGTCGCTTGCTTCCAGAAAAGCCGCCGACAAGTTAGGGTTTAGGGTTTAGGGTTTTGGGTTTAGGGCTTCAAGGATGCTTGCAACTAAACACGCATGGGTTTCCTTGCACATTCATAATGCGGCCCAAGCACTCTAATCATACCGTTGACCAGAGAGCCCAACACCCCTTAATCAAGGAATATAGCTTAAACTATAATATGAACCCCTATATAATTTAGGCCATATTCCTTGATTAAGGGGTATTGGGCTCTCTGGGTGTGCAAACAAGCAGATCCAATCACCAGTGCTTGCAGGAACCGTTCTCTTCGGAAGACCACAGACTCTCGGTGATACTTTAGAAGCTGCCCCCACCCTTTAATAGTGACTATAAGGATTATATTAGGGCCCTATTATCTTCCTATTATACCACTATTACAGGGTGGGGGCAGCTTCGAAGTGATACTGCACATCATATACCCATTCGCAAACCTGGTCGACCCTGTCACGCATTTCACAGGTGCAACTTCCTATAATCTTATGTGAAGTGTTGCTAAATCATGTGCCACGTTCGCGCGGGTCCTCTGCATCATGCATGCTTTGCCAATTTGCTAAAAAGCCTGCCCCTGCACAAGGTAGCAGAAGGACAGCAACGAGCGAGCACGCATTTCGCTCGAAATAACGTTCCTCGAGGGGGCACTGCTTTCGTAAGCTTTGACTAAACTCTGAACTTCTAAACCCGTGACACCAAAACCCAAACACCTAAACGGTTAAAAGCCGAAAACCCCACAGTGACCCAAAGACTGCGGATGCTGCCCACCTGTAGACAACTTGCTCCGACATTATCCCAAAAAGCCTTTCCATGGTTGGATCCTACAACCACAAGCTCGGGCAAGCAAGAAGGGATACTACATTTCCGTAGGGCTCTGAGGACTCACATATTAGGGCTTTTGGGCCCAAAGACCATACAGGCTTTTGGGCTATTATGATCCCCAGGGTTTTAGGGTCAGGTACTTGGAGGGGCAGGGGACTTAGCAAGTATGGTTACAAGTAGAGTTATAAGTAACCGAAATGGAGTTAACCCACTTATAACCCTACTTCTAGCCCTACTTACTAAGTCCCCTGCCCCTCCAAGTAAAGCCAAACCATGAAACCGGAACCCGAAATATTGAATTCTGGAAGCTGTAACCTAGACCTTGCACCCTCAAGGCTACGGGATAGACTGCCAAAAGTAGGATCCAACATCCAGAAAGCCCCATACCACGCCGACCCTCAAAACACGGGGAAAACAGAGTCCGAAAGCCCAGCCCAAACCCCAGCAGCCCAAATTCCCGAAACCTTCATTAAGCCCTAAACTCTAAACCCGAAACCATAAACCCTAAACCCCTAAACCCTACTATAGATTATAGATCCCTTTAAAGGAACGAACCCTCATAGATCTTGTACGGAAACCTAAACCTTCGAAAGCCCTTAGCTCGAGGTTTGGACCAAGAAGGGCCGGAGAATCGCCGGCGCCGAGCTGCGGGCACGGTTTAGGATGTGCTGTTTCGGGTTTAAGCTTTGCTGTTTAAGGTTTATGGCTTCGTGTTTAGGGCTTATGGTTTTGGTTTTAGCTTTGAGAGTTTATGATGGGAGGCCAAAAGCATGGTTTAAGATTCTTGGGGTAGGGATTCCTTCATATGAACCCTTTTATGGGAAGCCTAATTGCCTACAAAACCCCCATAGGCCAAAACCCTCTTGGCCTCCCATGAGTTTACCATACCGAACTTAAAACCCTAGCAAAACTTGCAATTTTAGCTGTTTGTTAGGGATTATAATAACCAAAAATCAAAAATATTTCTAAGTACCACTAAGTTTAGGGCCTGGTTAGGGTTGAAGGTTTCGGGTTGCGGCTTAGTGGGTTTACGGTTGAGCGTTCCAGGGTTCAGGGTTCGGGTTTGGGGTTTGACAGTGTGGTTGTATGGGATTGGGTTTAGGGGTTGGGGAAGTCGGGGGAGTTTGGGCTTTGAAGGGTCTTGTATGTAGACTACAACAGTCCCAATAATCACTTATAAATCAGGCTCTGTCTATATATTAAACAACAAGGGAAATGAAAACTTATCCCACATCTACACCTAGCAGAAGTTTGCAAGGTTTAGGGCTTACTTAGGGTTTCGGATCAGTGAAGGATTGCGGCCTTCAGTAATTAAGGATACGCGCGATGAGGGCACGAATAAGCCCAGGTGTAGCCAGGTACTAGGCCCCATGATCCTTGTAACAAAGTCAAATTCTTCAGCATTTTAGGACTCGGCGCGATGCAAGGATTGAGGCTCTAGGTTCTTGGGTTAAGTGTAGGGATTAGCGCCCTTAGAACCACAATGTTGAATCATTCCTTTGGAATTTTATGATAATCACATACAAGATGACCCCTAAGAAGACTAAAGTTCCTAGAGGCTCCTCATATACTACCGTGATGAAACTCGGTCATAAGGTCCTTTAAAACCCATAACAAGGATGGTCTTCTGGTGCCTAAAGGCAGCATAGGAGGAGCCTCCAGGGTAGGTAAGATTGGGGGTGACTGAACCTTGCAGGGTGATTGACTGAGGTCTTGGTAATATAGGGGCCTTCATAATTTAAAAGAGGGTTTTGGGTCCCAGTGTACGAAAAAAATGAGGAGGCCCCAAAATATTGTAGGCAACTATTGAGGCGTCGTGCTTCCGGCCCAGGGCGAATTGGCTTGTCATGCTGGTCTCGTCCATACCCTTCCCGAAGACATTGGCATTGCACTGGCCCACCGATTGGGCGGTCTCCGGCCCGGTCGGGACGACATCGGCCCCCGAATCGACGTCCGAGTAGCCCGGAAGGCTGTAGGCGTCCCTTCCACCAGTGGCGGCATAATCCAATATCACTGTGCGGGGTCCCAACAAGCCACGGGTGACTACTTGGAGGGGCAGGTGGCTTAGTAAGTAGGTTAAAAAAAGTAGAGTTATAAGTACCCTAAATGGATTTACCCCAATTATAAACCTACTTATGACCTACTTACTAAGTCCCCTGCCCCCCAAGTATCGTCCCCAACAGCTAAAGCTGGCCAAGAATGCCACTGTTGTCTCAGCAGCAGCAAGATCTAGTTGAAGACTCGGCTTCGTGCTCAAAAACTCAACGACAGGCTTCTGATTGTGGGTCAGGTAAGGTTCAGGGTGCTTTAGGGTTTAGGGTGCTTTAGGGTTTACTGCACTTTGGGATGTAGAGCTCTGCCTGCCGGTTAAGGTTCAGGACATATTATACAGGCCTTAATAATTAGTCTTTTCGAGGATCTACCGGGGAAGGGCCTTTAGAGGAACCTGGGTTCCTACGCTTGGGTCTCTAGGCTCGACCCTGGACTAACACCCCGAAAGCACGCAACAACTTTATATACGCTGAGCAAAAAAGGCCTGCAAGGGCGTGTCATTCTTGCGCAGGGGTCTTGCAACACTCCCCCCTTTGCGCTTCGCAAAGACTACGTGGCCATTGCTACTCCTGTGGACTTCTGCCTCTTAAGAGGAATCCATCCATTCAGGAGTTTCCGCGGCAGAGACCATCAGCAGACTCCGAAATTTCAAGGCCACAATACTCGACTGGGCCGTCTTCGGTATGCGTGAATGCGCTGCACTCCCAGGTGGCCTTGATTTCTCAAGAAGAGCCGATCGCTCTGACCAAGGTCCCAACACTAGGAGATCATCGACATACCAACACATTAAGGCAACAATCTCACCGCAAGGGGACTTGACCAGCCAAATGTTGGGGTCGGCAACACACTGTTGCAAGTGGCGGTTCTCACCATCAACAGTCCAGGTCAGGACTCTGCAAGTTTTATCCCGGAGGCGGGACCAAGCACGGGGCGAGGTCTGGAGCCCGTAGAGAGCACCATGGACTCTCCACTTGTAACCCCGAGGGATAACACCAGCGGCATACAAAGCCTTAGGTGGATTGCAGATCAGATATTCTGCCTCCTGCTCATCAAGGGGAGCATTGAGAAAGGCAGTCTTGACGTCAGTACCTGAACCGCCATGTTTTCTCATTCCGGCCCATCTCAAAGCAGTGCGGATCGAAAGAGAATCCGCTCCTCCGGCATAGAAGGACTCTGCCGCCCTTTCCTCAGACCACTTTTGGAAATTGCCGCAAATTACAGCTCTATACTTATTCCTTTTAGTGGATCCGGGAGTTACTGGGGGCTTTTCAGTGGCAACACCCCGGCCGGGGAGGATCTCTACGTCTTCACCATCTAATATCCATTTTTCAACTTGACTATCTGCCACAAGCTCAACCGCACCCTTCGAAATTAAGGAATCACATTCTGCTTTCATGGCATCACGCCATTCATGCAGTTTTTCACGAACTTCCTCATTCGAGACAATACGGGTATGTAGCAAGGGCTGAGACTCAAGATGTTCAGCTGCAGGGGCAGCGGCACACACCCTCCAAGAGGAGGAGCTGACAGGTTCATCGCAGCCATAAAGGCGCGCAAGTTCTAGATGCCAGCCCAGCTCATTGCGAAGGGAGGACGCTTCGCGCATCGCCTGCAAGGTGATGGGATCAACTGGGCCTTCAGATGAAGCGCCTACAACAGATCGCTGCAGTGACTTAAGAAAGTGAGTCACTGCTTGGTGCATTTGCTCATATCCTTGAGCTACCTGGCTCCAAAATTCCTCTGTCGGCAAGTCTGCTTCCTCGTCACCAGAATCACACTCAGCTGGAAGCAACTTTGACAAACCGTCCCCGGGAGAGGATTCTCCACTGGCAGGGGATGCTTGCAGAGGTTCAATGTCCTGGATTGGCATATTTACCCATCGCAAAGCTAAGCCAGGCGTTAGGCGGAAGAGGCATCTCATGGCCACAGACCTCAAGGGAACCCGAGCCCTGCCCAACATTCCAAACCACATTCATTGACTCCAGGGAATTGTGAGAGTCGCGATGGACCTCCGACTCAATGTTGATCACAAAACCAACGGAAGCAAACTTCTGGCCAGTGCGGTGGAAGAGGCTCACAGCAAGAAGTCTGGTGAGCCACGGGCACTCGTGCACCGTATTAGTTATTCCAACCTTCGCACTGAAAACCCATGCTCCAGATGACCAGAACCAGGGAGGCAGCGTGGCCCCAGAAGACTCATCCTTCTGGTTTCCAGCTAGGGGTCGCTTGGCGATCCGATTGATCGCTTTCTTGTCCTGAACGTACAGTCGAATGGCATTCGCAAGCTGACCCGTGGAAACGGAGTTTCCTTCGAGAAGCACCTGCTTGCAGAAGGTCTCACACGGAGAGAACGCTTCTGTTGCCGACGGGGACCCACCAGAGTTCGAGAAGAGCCGAGCAACACGAAAGGCAGGCCCAGCGTCAGGGTCCCGACGCGGAGAGCGATCTCTCCTGTTCTCAAAGGGCGGAGGCCCTTGGGGATTCGGAACTGGAGTGCGACCGGCCTCTTCTGCAGAGCGGAACCGATCTAGCCAAATCATATTGCTTTCGATCAGAAACCACTGAGGAGGCTGGCCATATCGGATGGCCCGGTAGAGGTAGCCACGACGGTTGGGTTCGCCTTCAAAGTCGACGACCCTTTCTATCTCTACAATGCCAAGGAGGTCAATCTCATACTCAGTGTTCTGTTCATTCAAACCGCCCGGCTGATACCCCAACACATAAGGCACAGGATCGTTGGTGTGCCGGTGATCCCAAATCATACGCACCTCCGGCATGTTGTTCCAGTTTCGACCCCGAAGGACAAACAGTCCTATCATAAAGGCGTGCTCTGGGTTGCGCATGACGTGAACCAGACAGCCAAAGTTTTGCAGATCAAGCTCATTCCAGCCATTGGCTGGTTCATCAACCGGACGGCCACGCTGGAGTCGTTCTGCTTCACGATCATTTAGCACTGCATACCGCCTCACCCATCGCGGAGTTGGAACATTTACATCCGCTCTTTCATTCTGATCTAGTTTTTCAACCAGAAATCATACATCGACGGGGCGGGTTCATCGGCACCGTGGAGGTAGCGGTTCCTAAGGCGATGGCTTTAACCCCTTTCCGGGACATCATATCCACTCGCACTTTCAGGATTATCCTCTAACCAGCGGGCTATCATAGCTCCAACCACAATCCAGCCAACCTTAGGGTCAAGGGCATTGGGAAGCATACGGCTTCCTCGTTGCTCAGACTGGAAACCCCGAATCGCATAATGCAACGTTTTTTCAAGATCATCATCGTTCTCAAGGACTTCCACACAGCCCTGCAGCCCAATCTGAATGACGTACGGGCTCAGCGGCGCACCTGACTGGAGCATGTGACAGAGAGGGTTGCTGGGAGGATCAATGGTCCATTCAGCAATGCTTGATTGCAGGGTGGAATAAGTATCCACAGTGGAAGTGTTCCCGGAACTAGAAGACACCGGGCCCGTTGCTGACACATCTAGCGATCCCGAAGAAAAGCTGGACAACGAACCAGACGGGTCTGGAGCTCCAGCAGCCTCGGTAGGCATGGGTGGCGAGTAGCCTTGGCCGGGACGGTCGGCAGCA